TGTAATGCATGTAATGTATGTAATGTATGTAATGTATGTATGTATGTAATGCATGTAATGTATGTAATGTATGTAATGTATGTAATGTATGTAATGTATGCATGTATGCATGTAATGTAATTTAATATAATTTAATGTAATGTAATGTTATGTTATGTTGTGTTATGTTTTGTTTTGTATGTGTGTATGTATGTAATGTAATGTAATGTAATGTAATGTAATGGAATGTAATGTAATGTAATGTAATGTAATGTAATGTATGTAATGTATGTAATGTATGTAATGTATGTAATGTATGTAATGTATGTAATGTAATGTAATGTAATGTAATGTAATGTAATGTAATGTAATGTAATGTAATGTAATGTAATGTAATGCATGTAATGTATGTATGTATGTATTGTATGTATTGTATGTATTGTATGTATTGTATGTATGTATGTACTGTATGTATTGTATGTATTGTATGTATTGTATGTACGACGTACGTATGTTCCCATGGATGCATGTATGTATGTAATGTATGTATGTATGTAGGTAGGTAGGTAGGTAGGTATGTACGTATGTACGTATGTATGTATGTTATGTATGTTATGTATGTAATGTATGTAATGTATGTAATGTATGTAATGTATGTAATGTATGCATGTATGCATGTAATGTAATGTAATGCAATGTAATGTAATGTAATGGAATGTAATGTAATGTAATGTAATGTATGTTATGTTTTTTTTGTTAGTATGTTATGTTTTGTTAGTATGTTAGTATGTTAGTATGTTAGTATGTATGTATGTATGTATGTATGTATGTAATGTATGTATGTATGTATGTATGTATGTAATGTAATGTAATGTAATGTAATGTAATGTAATGTAATGTATGTAATGTATGTAATGTATGTAATGTATGTAATGTATGTATGTATGTATGTATGTATGTATGTATGTAATGTATGTATGTAGGTATGTATGTAGTGTATGGAATTTATGTATGTATGTATGTATGTATTGTATGTATGTTTGTTTGTTTGGTTGTTTGTTTGTTTGTTTGTAATGTTTGTAATGTATGTAATGTATGTAATGTAATGTAATGTAATGTAATGTAATGTAATGTAATGTAATGTAATGTAATGTATGTAATGTATGTAATGTATGTAATGTATGTAATGTATGTAATGTATGTAATGTATGTAATGTAATGTAATGTAATGTAATGTAACGTAATGTAATGTAATGTAATGTAATGCATGTAATGTATGTATTATATGTAATGCATGTAATGTATGTAATGTATGTATGTATGTAATGCATGTAATGTATGTAATGTATGTAATGTATGTAATGTATGCATGTATGCATGTAATGTAATTTAATATAATTTAATGTAATGTAATGTTATGTTATGTTGTGTTATGTTTTGTTATGTATGTATGTATGTATGTATGTATGTATGTATGTATGTAATGTATGTAATGTATGTAATGTATGTAATGTATGTAATGTATGTAATGTATGTAATGTATGTAATGTATGTAATTAATGTATGTATGCATGCATGCATGCATGTATGTATGTATGTATTGTATGTATTGTATGATTGTATTGTATGTATTGTATGTATTGTATGTATTGTATGTATGTATGTACTGTATGTATTGTATGTATTGTATGTATTGTAGGTATTGTATGTACGTACGTACGTATGTTCCCATGGATGCATGTATGTATGTAATGTATGTATGTATGTAGGTAGGTAGGTAGGTAGGTAGGTAGGTATGTACGTATGTACGTATGTATGTATGTTATGTATGTAATGTATGTAATGTATGTAATGTATGTAAGGTATGTAATGTATGCATGTATGCATGTAATGTAATGTAATGCAATGTAATGTAATGTAATGTAATGGAGTGGAATGTAATGTAATGTAATGTAATGTATGTTATGTTTTGTTTTGTTAGTATGTTATGTTTTGTTAGTATGTTAGTATGCTAGTATGTTAGTATGTATGTATGTATGTATGTATGTATGTAATGTATGTATGTATGTAGGTATGTATGTATGTAGTGTATGTAATGTATGTAATGTATGTATGTATGTATGTATGTATGTATGTATGTATGTATGTATGTATTGTATGTATGTTTGTTTGTTTGGTTGTTTGTTTGTTTGTTTGTAATGTTTGTAATGTATGTAATGTATGTAATGTAATGTAATGTAATGTAATGTAATGTAATGTAATGTAATGTAATGTAATGTAATGTATGTAATGTATGTATGTATGTATGCATGCATGTATGTATGTATGTATTGTATGTTTGTTTGGTTGGTTGTTTGTTTGTTTGTAATGTTTGTAATGTATGTAATGTATGTAATGTAATGTAATGTAATTTAATGTATGTAATGTATGTAATGTATGTAATGTATGTAATGTATGTAATGTATGTAATGTATAATGTATGTAATGTATGTAATGTATGTAATGTATGTAATGTATGTAATGTATGTAATGTATGTAATGTATGTAATGTATGTAATGTATGTAATGTATGTAATGTATGTAATGTATGTAATGTATGTAATGTATGTAATGTATGTAATGTAGTAATGTATGTAATGTATGTAATGTATGTAATGTATGTAATGTATGTAATGTATGTAATGTATGTAATGTATGTAATGTATGTAATGTATGTACTGTATGTAATGTATGTAATGTATGTAATGTATGTAATGTATGTAATGTATGTAATGTATGTAATGTATGTAATGTATGTAATGTATGTAATGTATGTAATTAATGTATGTATGCATGCATGCATGTATGTATGTATGTATGATTGATTTGTTGCATTTTTGCAGTGTGCGCATGCAATTTCGTGAGAAGGGTGAAGGGAACCGGTGTAGCATGGTAATCTTGCCACGCCGAACTGATGAATGTTTGACTTCAGTTTAAACATACCTACGGTTATCTATAGTTAACTGAAGTTCAGTATATGCATATGTACTTAATATCTACTTACCTACTTACCTACCTATCTATATACCTATCTATCTACCTACCTACCTATCTTTCTACCTATCTATCGATCTACCTATCAAGTTGACCCCCCAATTTTGTCAGGACATTTGCGGCTTCGTGAACATCAAGGCCATGAACGCCAGCACCTCCACGGTGGCACCATTGGTGGAGAAAACCACCGTGAAGAGCCAGTGCTTCAAAAAGGCCGACTCCCAAAGCGCCGTGTTTTGGGACTCTCGGTGAAGCGATATCCAATGCTGGTACCTTCAAGATAAGAAGGAACTATCTTAAAATGGGGGATTCCCAAAACCATATAGAAGTTTCAATGCTAAAATCGTTTGATTCTCGATGATTTGGGGGTACTTTCCCATGTTAGGAAACCTCCATTTCAACATTTAAACTGAGGACCTGGGCTCCGCTCAGAACATTGGCACCGTCTCAGCAAACCCTTCAGCTGGTGTGGCCAGCATCAAGGTCTACTTGACATCCTCAGGACCTGGAGAGGCGTTGGCATCCAGTTCCTCAGCCGTGTTTGGACACCCTGAATCCACTGTGATCCGCTGTGAAAGGTGGGGAGTCCATGAAGAATCTCCATTCAAGTTGTAAGTCAATGCAGCACAGCATGATGATTCTGCAATTAACAATGAGGGTGTTTTGCTTGACCAAGGTTCCATGTGCGGAACCATCACCCACACCTCCAACAGCGTAGAATGCAGCTCCAAGGGTTCAGGACGTTACTTGGCCATGGAACCATTTGTGGATGGCACCTGCGTCTTCGGCTCTTGTACACAGATCCTTGGAATGAATCGTCGCAGTGGATTGGGTTGGAATTCTGAAGCCCTGGCAATACTACTACATGTTCAAATTTTGTGCACATGGGTTGTTTTGTCTTTCTTGTTTGGCTACAATTCTTGGCCGCCGATCAAGCAGACAATGTCAAATTCACAATGTAGCCGTAGGTTTGCTGAACAAAAATCATTTAGCAATGTTTGAATATATTCGATCATATTGAATCGATTTGAATCATATTCAATCGCTCATGATGTTCATGAGAGCTGAGGAGCTGGTGCTTGTTGCAGGTCGATGGCAGCGCCATGACACAGGAGCCAGTAGCATCTACTGGATCTTCCTACATGGGAGAGGTCGTCGTGAACGCCAACACCACCGCCTGAGTGGGGCAGCGGACAGACCAATACCGTTGATGTCCGCCTTAGATGAACCAAAAGCAGATCCGGCGCGGAGGGAATGGAAATCACTGGGAACCCAGACCCTATCCCTGTTGGTCGACGTAGATGCCCTTTTGGTCGACCATGCCCTTGCCCTGAGCAATTCGTGTCATTTGTCTTGTGCTTTGCCACACTGAGACAAGTTTAAGAGCCCTCAAGGGTTCCAGCAGATACAACAAGCTGACAGCTTGATATAAGTTGAGATAACTTGAAAGCAACTTGATAGAACTTGTATACAAATGTATAGGTGCCAATTAGATCCAATTAGATCAATTAGTTCAATTTACATGCGGAGTCTTTCGATGTTCAATGCATGTTTAAACTTGGCAGGAAGCTGCTGGGCCATTGCCAGAGAGAGTCGACAGTAAGCTGAGCCGGCAGCGCTTGTTGGGCCCACAGATGTCCACAACATTTCAACTGGGCAAGGGAATAGTTCGTTGTCAAGATCCACAGAGGTACTGTGGGTATGGTTGAAAAAGGATGAAAAAGGTTGAGAAAATATGGGGCAATGGGCAATGGTTGAAACTTGAAAGTTGGCTCCTGCTGTTTGTTTGTCTAGCACCTAGTTCTGAGATTCGCTGCTGCAAGGCCAGGAGGAAAGACCCTGCAGGTTCGTCTCGGGATCCTGAAGATTTGGGGACCGTTTCCGATTTCCTGTTGATGTGTTGTTTTCCTTCTACATTTTTTACATTCTTTTACTGTATAATTTTGTATAATATATATATATTATATATATATAGATATATGTATAACTGTATAACCTCTTTTTGGAATTGAACAGGATGAAATTGCGTAAATTTTCTACAAACCAACTACTGAAGAACGGATTCATTCATGTTTAGCCCTGTTTAGCCCCATCGCAAAGACGATCAAAGACGAGCTGCCAGGAAACACGACAGCTTCCATCGATTTGGACCTCCATCCCCAAGGCTGATGTATTTGAGGCCTTGGAGGGGTTCGCCTGGCACGTTTTGAGGGTTGGAGATGGTTGGAGATGGTTGGAGATGGTTGGAGATGGTTGGAGGGTTGGAGGCCTTTCAAAACTGTGACACCAAGGACAGAATCTCATCATATCCCCAAGAAAATCCCAACCATTGCATCATGATGTTGCATCATTCAGTATATTAAATTATTAAATTACAAGATGTTATAGATTGTAAGTTAATTATAAGTTTTGCTATTTACTCATCGTTTGAAATTGATTGTCCCACCTTGTCCCTCATTCCAGCATGACGAATTTCTGTGTTTTAGCGTTGGAAGCTGAGAACATTTGCGGACCATTCGCTTGATTCCAAGATGCTAAAGCGGCCGTTGGACATATGATTGTTGCAGTTGCATGCATGTTGGGTACATAGCTGTCTATTGTAATCAATAAGTCGTGTCCAGTTTGCTCGCATTCGCTGGCCAGATACCGAACCTTCAACGAGTTGAAAGCACCAAGAAGGTGCGGGGTGTTGAACTTGATAAATGAAGATGAATGTTAAAGAAATGTGTGTCAAAAATGATTGAGTCATGTATGATGATGTGTGGTTTGTTCGGAGATGAACCATGGTGAACCTTGTACATGGAACACAGTCCTTGAAATTTAACTTATTTGTTCAGCCATCAACTGATGGTGTGCTGGTGTTTGCTGTCTTCTAACGCTGTCAGTTTGATTCATAATTATACGAATGACAAGAAACTGTTTGTGAATACATCTTGAGACGTGTGTTCAGATTGACGTGCTGTATGAATATGTTTGTCATTCCCAATGGTGTTATTGATTCAAGCTATGCAATCAAGGATTGCTTCACTGGGTGCTTGAATGCTTTACTTTCGCAGCAATGTCGTGAACAGCAGAAGGTTATCCCAGAGAAAGTCGATTGAGTTTCATAGCAAATCATGCCAGTGGCTGCGAAAGTCGTGTACTGGTACTTTTATGTACTTTTACACTCCATCATCACATATCCTCACCGTAGTATACTGTAGTCTTGTTGCATGAAGAAATCGCCAACTTGAGGCCCATGTCTACAGGAGGCTCCAGGCGGTCTATAGCTGCTTCCAGGGAAGCACGTTTGCTTTCAGTATGTGGTTCTTTTCTGATTTTTCTGTTTTTTGCTACATCAAAGGCTTTTTGGTGACCTGAGTGTTGAAGTGATGTTGTATTTGGTAATGGACGAGTTGAGAGGCTCCAATCCATGTCAGTGTTTTTTCTTTTGCAAGATGTGTAAAGACTGGGCTTGAAAGAACACTTTGAATTTAAATGGTTTAAACTTTAAACACGTTTGAATCATTTTGAATCCATTTATAGGCTTGGAATTTGCTGACGGAGCACAGGAAGGGCGGTGTTGCTTGGAAAGATCCTCATCCTCAGTTGCGGCCTCAGCCTGGAGCCACAGAGGATTGGGTACCCGCCAGCTTTTCGCACAGTCACTGCTCTACGGCGAGGCCTCCATACAGTTCCAGACAGCCAAATCCACATCGATATTTGATGTATGTGCTTTGGCGGCATTTGGCAGATTTGAGCCAGACCTCCAGGAGATTCCAGGAGACCGGACTTTGAGATTCGACATCACTCATGCTTTGTGGCCATTGCGTTCCTGTGTCCTGCATGTTTGACCACATTTGATCACCACGTTCCATTTTGTACTACAGAAACAGTTGGGAGCAGCACTGTTTGACGACTCACTGTCGGGTGGATGACCTGGTTTCTGCAATCGATACTTCAGAGACGTGCACTGAGATCCAGCATGATCCAGCTGTGGCTAAGGCGTCATAGCAGCGTAGCATGCCAAGTGAGAATGGAATAGTATGCAGTGATGCAGCCTATAGCAAAAGTTGCTTATGTTTGTTATTAGGCTGTCAGCATCAACATGCCATGTTTGAAAATAATGTCGGCACTTGGCACTTGAAGATTCCACAAACAAATTCTATGAGGTTCAATAATAATTCAGAAAGATCAATGAGGTGTAATGATTTCAAACGCAAGATTTATGCAGAGGGCCTCAACCCTCAGCAGCATGGTCACCTACAAATGTAGGCTGGCAGTGTCATGTCGTTTCCGTTGGCACTGTCCCATGCACGTCGTGGCCCTGGAGCGCCAGCGCGTTGTTGGATGAAAAGCATCACAACCATGGCGAGTTGACGAGGTAAGGAGCCATGGTGCGGAGAAAAAGAAGTGATTTCCCTTTCCAAATCGAAACCACCAGAACCACCAGAACCACAGGCCAAAAGACTTCATATTTGGGCTGGATATGTATATAATTATATCATTGTACATAATTATACATACGTATATAATATATATTATAATATATATTATAATATATATATATATAATTATATATATATATTGAAGACCAGTGACTTAGGAACCGTCGGACATACCCCCAAAACGCCGAGTCCTATGTCATGAGCAAACATCCCCTTGGTAGCCTGGGTCCATTAATCCTATGTTATGATAGAATAACAGAGAAATCATGTTATTTTCAAACAAGTTTTTCTAGGATCAAATGCACTGGGCAAGTCCTAAGTCATGATGCACAGTTTGGGGGGCAAAGGTCAGCATTATCGAAGGGGATGCGTGGGGACACACGTCCTAAGTCACAAGGTTCCTGGTAGTCATGCAAACAGATGTTCATAATATGAGACATAAATAGCAGCTGCTTGAAACTCACGATGTGGAAAGCACTGCTAAAACATGCTAAAACATGGGTTTGCTGGCCGGACACACAAGTCCTAAGTCACGAGGTTCCTGGTAGTCATGCCCGTGTAGGGCTATTGTCGTTGGGGGTGCATCCCCCCAAGCCCTTGGGGGGATATATGCAGGGCTCATGCTGGATTTCAAGTGCCAGAGCACTAATTCCTAACTCCCTTGTCATCAGGTGAATGCAGCTGGGAGGTGTGGAAAGAATGCGCACGCAGAGAGAGAGAGAGAGGGAGAGAACTATATATATATACATATCTGTGTGTGACTATGTGTATTTTTGTTTAGAGATATACGCAAGTTATCCGCGGATCATTTTATCCGCCGGTTTCAGCTGCCAGATCAGTAGTTCCTATGTCATCAGGTGAGTGCAGCTGAGACTTTCGGAAAAAACAAATAAAGTAATAATTACAGCAATGAATAAATGAACGGATATGACAATATTCAAGTAAACATACAATGTTCATGCAGCTGGAGACACATGACTTAGGCAGCGTTCATGGAGGGAAAAACAAGAGATGGCCTATGTCATCAGCTTTTGATATCTTGGAAATTGGGTGTCCAAGAGATGTTTTTGTTGTTTGCCGATGGTCTTTTAATCCTATGTCATCAGGTTCTTTTTCAGGTGTCTTCTGGGTTTTGGTGAACTACGCATTGTATTTTTTTAAAAACTACGTGACTTAGACCGCTTTCAGCCTGTTATTCCTATGTCATCACAATTTGTTAGGCCTAAGTCATTTGCCTACAATATAGATCGATAGATAGATCGATAGATAGACATTCTGACACGTTCTATTTGACATTTTTTCTGGCATATACTTTGACATTCTAGCTGGCATCTATTCTGGCATCTTTTCAGGCATGGATTGTGGCATTCTATCTGGCATCGGTTCTGGCATCTTTCAAGGCATTCATGCTGGCATCCTGGTGTGGCGATTTGGAGTTCGATTCCAGGCGCACTCCGCAGCATCCTGGGTTCACTGGCAGCAAGACAAGGCAAAAAGAAAGCGGAGATGAGGACAACAAGGAGCAGAAGAAGGAGAAGAAAGAGAGGAAGGAGAAGGAGTTGCACCTTTGTTCAAAACTAGAGACCCGGACCTGGCAAGTGGGGAAACAACGTTTAATTTGATTTAATTATGCGAGAATCTATGGGAGGTGTTTTACATTTTCACCTGGCTGCCGAATTTGTCGAATGCATGAGGCAAATGTTATGCAATTTGCTGCATGACGGTTCGCAGACTTTGTCGGATCAGACCCTCAAAGAGGGCAGTCCGGAAACAGTAGAGATCATCTATTCTAGAATGAAATCAACATGCTCGACCTGCGGACCTGTGACAATCAAAATGTTCTAATATTCCGTGTTGTGGTCATGGCAAGTGTTTTGCCAAATGCTTTTGTTTTGGCACAGCAAAGCCATGGCATTCAACAAATACGATATTCTCAAAGATTTTGTTTGCATAGCAGTTGCCACATTCTTTCTGCTGTTTGAACGTACTGCCCTCAGCATTGAGTTTGTCTTGAGACCTGCATCCTGACAGCCAAGACGAGTTGCGTCCAACATAAATTCAAGGCCAATTTTCTGTTGTTTTCGAATTTCCGACGTAACTTCATTAGCCTGAACAGTATACTGTGGTGCCGTCGGGGAATGAACCCAATCTGGAAGACTTAAGGATGAAGCGATGATGCCTGCTTTTCACTCGCAGATTTGTTGGACCGCCTTCCCTGCACAGTCGAGGCGATGCCCAAGCCAGTGTACGCCACAGCGGATGAGCTGGCGGAAGCGGTGAAGAAGCTGGAGGGTCAGGTCAGTGGGGGTAGAAATGTTACCAGCTGATGGGTGCGACTGGCCCCATGAGCAAATCCACTATAGTTGAGGATGCATTGCCGATACCGATACCTGTGGATCCTGTGGCTTTGGGTTTGGAATTTTGACCGGAACTGACAGGTTTAAGACGAGACAAAGGTGGTTAGGATTTGCTCTGCAGCTGACATGTTTGAAGCATTTCCTGGCCAGTTGAAAGCCACCGAAGCCAAGCTTGGTGGGGCATTGAAGTATTTTGGCTGCAGACAGGTTGCTGTCTTGACTGTTTGAAAAGCATCACCTTAAAGATCTGAACATGCCTAAAAATATGTTTCTCACCTGAGGCAGTCGGAGACCAATCTGAAAGGCGAGCTCGCAAAGGCTGATGGACACTTGGGCTGGTTGACTGGTTGACCATTGAATCTAGCTTTGTGAAGCTTTGTGATGCTCTGTGCACTACTGTACCAGACTTGCATAATCAGAGCCTTCTAAGCTTTTTTGAGGGGTAACATTTTGCATTTTGCTGTCATTGCCTGTCAAGTTCAAGTTTGATCTGGCGGATCTGGGACTATTGTGGACGTGTCGAGCAACACATTCTGAAAAGCGGCAGGCAAATGAGCAGATGGCCAACAATGCCCAAGTGGCGAACGAGGGCACACAACGTTGTGGCAATGACTCCAAAACCTATACTGACGACAGGATCGGGGCAGCAGAGACATTATTCTACCTAGGGACCAATTCATGACGGGGGGTGGTGACGGGAACAACCAAACTGGATCATGCGTCATGGATGTGGGAAGAGAGATTCCTTTAGTGGATTTCATTGGCTAAACATACCTTCAAGGTCAGTGGAAATGGAAAGGTGGCTGGCTGTCGGGGTGAGGATGTAATTACCGGCTCCAACTTCAACGTTTGATCTTGCAACAGCAAAAGTCTTCATTCCACACTGTCCGATCGTGCAATGTATGAAGCTACTTGTTGTGGTGGTTGTTGCTTGGCCGTAGTGTAGAGAAAGCTTTGAAGATGTGTTGTCAACGAAAGCCTGCAGCACGTAGGCTGAATCAATTTCGCACCGACATGATGGGACTGCTCAATGGCACCCAAGACGAAATCGGGCAGGCAGAGACAATGTCGGCTCTGAGAATTCCAGTTTGGCATGTTTATCGCACAAGGAGGGCGCATAGCTTTACCCACGGCTTCAGGATTGATTTGTGTGATATTGATATATATATATAGAGATAGATAGATAGATAGATAGATATGATTATATATATATATATATTGATAGTGTCTTCAAAAAGTGATCCGTACCATCAATGTGATCCTCAGCATACTGTTCAGGGTCAGGGGCATAAAATTGCATAATTATATTATGTCCGAGAACTTGCGTTGTACTGTAAGATACTGTACTGATATACTCTGATATTGTTATATATACTTAAATCGCTACTCAGGGACTTTGAATCCAATCAATTCCCTGCCAGTGCTCATCCACTGGACCAGTTTCGGTGCTAGGCGCAATCTAAGCTCAGCCAAAAGGTGGAGTCCGTTGACAATGACGTTCGGCAACTTGTCCGAGAATCATGCTTGTCTCATCGTTCTTGTCAAGTTGTCAACTTCAATGTCCCTGTATGATTTGAAAGTCACCGCATGATGTCACATATGTGTCATGACACCAACGAAGTGGATACACATCCCCACAACTATTGTAGAGCAGCCTTTGGCTTTGGTAGAGAAATGTATAACACCGTGTGTTCATTGACATTTTTTTCATTGATATGTTTCATACATTTATATACATATATAATAATATATAGTAATATATAGACATATGTTGCTGCATGACGGTATTCATTGTGAGTTCACGTCACAGGAGTAGACCAGTGCACATATTTGCGACAGATTTGCTGGTCCATGGTTTGCTTTGGCCATCTGTGACATTCCGTGATCAAGAACAGAAAACATCCACATAAGCATAGCAAGTTTACTACATTATTTTTATTTATTTTTATATGATAAATTCCTTTGACACGCTCCCGCATGCCAACATTACCTTTATGTATCATGCACATAAACGGTCATCAAAGGTCATAGAAGTATATGTGTGTGCTGTCTTGTGGTCACATACGTGAAAACGAATCAATTGCTTGGCTGAGCAGCCACAGGGACTGGGGCCATCCGCGCCGCGAAAAGCAAGGAAAGCATTGGCCGATGAGCTGGCGGCACTTTGTGAGCGAATTGACAAAGAGTTTCAAGCGACCCGGGAAGATGCTTGGCAGATTTGTGCTTTGAGTTTTTATGGATTTTCACTTCATGGACCACATGGATGTGTTTCCCTTGACCGGGACTTGACCATCACCCGCTCAGGACATGACCAAGTTCTCAGAGACGAAGTCACAAGAGGTAGCAGATGGATCTTGAAACTTTGAGCCGGGCAAATTGATCAAATTGATGAAACTGGAATTGTTGAAATCACTGTTTGTCAAAACTTGGCGGCAAAAGCAATGATCAGTTATATGATCAGTTATATGATCAGTTTATGATCAGTTATATAATATATAATGACTTCAACATGTTCAAAGTCACCAGGGTTTGAGATCTTCAGCGTCTCCAGGGCAAGGCCAACTTAGCGGATCAAAGAGACCAGTTGAACAGGGCCATGGCAGAGGCTGCTAAGGAGGCGATCCGGGAGAGATGTTGATCTTTGAAGATTTGGGGTCTGAAATTTGATCCCAAATGGATGTGGGTCAAAATGGAAGACCTAGGGGACCACAGATATTAGTCTAGTTTAGTATTAACCATCCAATTATTGGGGTACCTAATTTTGACCCATACCCAAATGTCATTTGCCAATTAAGAGGGAGATAGAGTGAGGCTGGAGTGGCTGTTGTTGTGTAATAGTTCCTTCGTATTTTGTATCACGTGTTGGGTGCTGCTGAAAGAGAATCCACCGCCACCAAACCAGTCACTTTTAGGTCGACCAAAAGATGGACAAGCTGCAAGCTACCATGGAGAAGTTCTTGAAGGAGCCTGGAGATTTGCTGTCTTCCGATCTCCAAACACATCCAAGTGCTGTCAATTGCTGTCATGTGTTAGCATATTTTGCGGCCATGGTGGGGTAACCACTAGTAGATTTCCAAGCCATTCCTTGTGGCCATTCCTTGTGGCGACTGCCACTGCCAGGACTTCAGCGATACTCAGGCAAAAGACCAGGCTTCACGCGATGAGAAGACCCAGCGCTCTGAGAGTGAAATCTGGTGCACTGCTCAGCTGGGTGCAGCTGGAGATGTGCTCCTTTGATCCGCCCCTTGGAGTGTCACATGATGAAATCGGTTTGATGAAATCGGTTTGGTCCAAAAAAATTAGACGGGGCAGATAACATCAGATCACTATAAGACACCTATTATTTGATGTTTGATATGTTTGATATTGTTCCAATTTTATTGGTATTTCTCTACATCAGATCAAATCAGATCACTAGACTATACTGTCATTGATCGGCAACGTGAGATATGTGGGACGGCGAGTGCAAGTTGCCAAGTCCCGGCTGCCAGGCTGAAGCTCGACCGAACCAATGAATTGCTGCAGGTGCTATGGTGAAACGACGTGAAAAGTAGATATGTCCACTGCAGATGCCTCCATATATATATATACACACGTATATATAACTCAATTGAATTCCAAATGATTTCAATGGGTAGACACTGGCTGTGCCTTATTTTTGTTCTTGACAGTCCCTCCGTAGGGTGTATATAGATTATCCATGTGAGACATGATATTTTGCCATGTTACAACATATTACATTGTTCATTCAGCTTGTGATCATATTAAAGATTTGTTGTTTGCTTCATGATAAGATATCCCAACACACACATATATATATATATGGGTTTGTCTGAAAATAGGGTATATTCCCAATTATAGCCATTTAATAGGGATAATGATCATTAACCATTGGGTTTAGGGGTACACTATTTTCAGACACACCCATATATACACATGATGTACAACACTTTTCGTGCTTCGATGTTTCGGAGTCAGGAGCTGACAGACAGCTCCACCAGGGACACGGAGAGCTTACGTCCCAGACCCAGAGACGGATGAGAAGTGGAAGAGCAGCTGCAAAAAATGACGCAAATTGTGAAAATGTGTGAAAATGTGTCAAGATTTTCAAGATATTTCAAGATTGTGTCAACAATAACTCACAAATCAATACACATCATTCAATCATCACGTTTTCTGGCTCAGCGGCATCACGCTAATTCCAATACAGAGTTGGTTGACCCAAGAGCCGAAGCTTTGTAATGTGCAAGTGACCAGTGATGGTCGCTTTGGGACCATACTCGGGCTTGACGGGCTTCACGTTTTCACAGCCTGCGTTCAATGCAGGTGAAGAAGCAACCAAAAACTTGGAGGACTACAAAACAGCAGCGTGCGGGCCCCCACTGCATCCCATCGCGAGATTCATGGCAAAGGCCTGAACTGCCGAGATGCTCAGTTGCTGAGTTTGACATGAGGGTTCAGCTCTAATCTCAAATCCCTTTAACCTGAAGGTTCTTATAACTCACCTGTGAATGACATGATGTGCTGTTTCGGTTGCAGATTGGTTGCCACCCAGGAATGGTCGTTTGGATGGCCATGATGAGGTGAAAATCGGAAGTGGGCGGACAGTCGGGCAACAGACTGGGGACCTGGTCAAAAGTATAGCCATCATGCGGAAAAGGGGTTGATGATGGTTGATGGTTTATCATTGTGCAGTGATGTGTTTAGGATGTTTCACGATAGATCGAACAAGACATTGCAACCTCTCTAGGATCTCTAGGACTCGCGCCAGCTGTGCCAGGAAAACCTTCAGATGCGCACTGCCCTGATGGAGGTCGAAAATCTTGCGACTCGACGAGTAGAGCCTTGGATGCACAGAAAATTGCAGTGGATAAGCCAACGTGGTGAGAAGCGCATGGTTGCTTTGATTGTATTGAGTCAATTGAGGATTGGGTCATCAAGGATGCATCCAAGCGTTTGCGTGCTGAGCTCAAGTTCCAGAAGTGAAGTCGGATTCAGACATGTATTTGCCGATCTGCGGGCCTTTTTGAAGCCTGAGTTCCAGTCTCAGCTTTGACCATGATTCAGGCAAACAAGCACGGGTTCTTCTATTGCTTGAACATGGGAAAGATATGTGCAAAGACATAAAAAAGAATTAATTACAAAAATATACTAATAGGATCTAATAGGTAATTAATTAATTACTGTATTCGTATGTATTTGAAGAAACCCAGCATGCTTGCAGCCTGCTTTATTCCCCTGCAATTTGGCACATTTTGGCACTTCTTTCCCACTAGAACACTACGAGGCCCAAACAGCGCCAGCAAAGCAAGTTTGCACACCAGCTGGCAGAGACCTCAGATTTTTAGTGATTTTTAGTGATTTTCTCTTTGAAAACAATCGCACTTTTGCCAGAGATCAGTCCAGTTAGGTTGGCTTCAGTTTTTTCCTCGATTTCACGCCACCTTTCCACGCGACCTCCACGCAACTCCCTGGAACTGGACAAAAAAAGAAATGACTGGCAGCATCTGGCAGCTTTGTGCCTGCAGGTTTTCGCCCAAGTTCGACATGGCAGGTGGACATCAACATCGTCATTTTGCTGCCTACTTTCTGTATTATCTCGTTTTGATGTTTCCGACAATTGAATGTCGTTCTCGTGAGCTCTTTTGTAGACGAAAACTGCTGGCAGAGGAAGAGTAATCTTGAAGATACATCAGATTAATCGGATTCACACGGGCAAACACGTGCACAGAACATGCAAATGCAATCATACTCTAAGCATCTAAGAATCTCTCAAAAGCGTCCAAAACTACTTGGGTGCAACGGGGCCAAATGAACCAGGTGTGCATGGCTTGCAGTTGGAGTTGCAACTCTTTAGGCTGGGCCTGCATTTTGTTTGATACATACTTCCCCTGGGTTGGCTTTGGGTAAGCCACATCTCCTTGTAAACCTGCAAGGCCTAAACCATCTTAAACCTTTTGTCACTGCTTATTTTGCAAAGGATAGATAGATAGTGAATGATAGAGATTATTCCCGAGAGCGTCTGAGCGCAGGGTTCTTCCAATAGTGGGGGTCTGTATCTCATCTTCT